AGGGACTGGTACTTTGGCTATGTAGCGAATTCACCGCTACAATGTGGCCCTGATCAATTCTCTCTAAAACCATTTCTTTAACCTGTAGTGAGAAATTTTTTCCTCGCTAAAAAGGGTTTCAAAAACTGTTATAGCACCGTATATTAGACCCTATTCATTTCACCGATTCGAGTTTAAAATTTGAGTTTTGCTACAATTAAAAGCTCTCAGAAACAGTTACATTTAACTTTTTTACTACAGTAAAAAACTCTCACATAAAGTCACATCTCAACTCAAATTAAAAATTCGAATTATCGAACTAAACGGGCCCTTAGTAACTATATTTTTTTCTTGTAAAACCTTTTGCGTGGCATTCAAAATGCCCGCATTTATTTTCAAGAAACTTGAAGCATACAACAAGGGATTTAGCCGCCATTATAGATTTTTTCCTTTTTTATTTGGCATGGAATGAAATTATCCGCACAAAAATTGGCAAAAAAAATTAAACCCTATCACTGCGACATTTTTCGCTGCTATATATCGCTCAGATGACCAAAATTGACTGAAGCCTCTTTCTTCCCTAATTTTCTTCCGAATCCTTTCCCTCTCCAACCTCCCCATTTTCTCAAAAGGTATGTAAGTAAATTTTTTTAAGTACGCATACGAATTGGATTTGCAGTGACTTTAATTCTAAATCGTGCAATCTAAGTAAATTATGTATCCTACTCTATATTCTCACTCTGAATCTTGCCCAATTCAAATTCCTCTGCCTGTAAGTACGCACAAATAAAAACACAATAAGAGTTTTTAATTTTTAACCGTTTTTAACTTTTATATATATATATATATATTTTGAGAATACAGAAATAACTATTGTTCTTGATCGTAGATATATATCTTCAATAGAAAAAAAAACTAAAAAAATAAAATGGAAGAGCAGTATACATTTGTTTCTTTTCTGTTTTTCCCATAAATTTTTGATTATTTATTTATTTTCTCTTTCTTTTCTTTTTATCGGTATCTTGGACATTTCAATATAGTCAAGACAACATATTAACTGAGATAAAGTTCTCATTTTCGTGTAACAATTTATCTCATGCAATTCACCGATTCGAGTTTTCACCACCGGTGCAAGAGCAGTATACATTTGTTTCTTTTCTGTTTTTCCCATAAATTTTTGATTATTTATTTATTTTCTCTTTCTTTTCTTTTTATCGGTATCTTGGACATTTCAATATAGTCAAGACAACATATTAACTGAGATAAAGTTCTCATTTTCGTGTAACAATTTATCTCATGCAATTCACCGATTCGAGTTTTCACCACCGGTGCCTTATAGTATTGCTCAACCTGGAGGCTATGAATTCTCAGTTAGAGTTGAAAATTTGGTCTGCCCAGCCCGGAGACTTAATAGGAAAGTTTAGGCCGGGCTGGTCCTAAGACCCAGCGAGCCTGGCCTGAGCCAAGTATAACTTAAATTTATAAAAATAAAAAAATGGTAAGAAAATACATAATAAATAGTGAATATGCCAAAATTTAATGGAATAAGATGTTATGTATGTAATTATAACTGCCCCATTAAAAGCCTTACCAAGAAAAACTCATTGGGATAAAATCTTAGTAACGAAAAAAGAGTGCAATATTATTTTCATAATTACACATTATATATACTTAAAAAATAGAAAAATACATAGTTATTCAAAAACAAAAATATCTAACTGCTAGCTACACTACTTCCGGCATCGTAAGTGTCATCGTTAATGTATAAGTTCTAAAATTGATCCATTAAATCTTTGCCTTAGGTTGTGTGTTGCATTTACAAAGAAGCATTTTTCTAATCTTTCAAACATATTACTACCACAACCATTTTTGTAGTCAACGAAGTACTTCTTTCTTCAATTATCCTCCCAGTTGTACTAAAGGCATGTTCTAAAGACACCGTCGATACTGGAATAATCAAGATATCACGTGCTAATATTGAAAGCACTGGAATAGTCAAGATATCACTTGCGATTGGCAGGAAGGAGAAACTAGCTGGCCCCACCTACTGCGACACTAACACGTTTGTTCCTTTTCGTTATTCGACGACTTAAAAAATTTTCTAGTTTATTTTTATTATTATTATTTATTATATTCATTTATTAATTTTGAATTGATATGTGGTCCACTTTTGTCTATTTTAACACCATTTTATGCTAAAATTCTGATACTTCTAAGATAGAGGTGAAAGTTTGCCTAGGCCCGACGGCCCGAATGGGAATTTTGGATTAGGCCAACCCGACCCATTATTTACACCAGGCCAAGCAGGCCAGGTCTTGAAAGGAGGATGGTTTGCTCGACCTGAAATTTACAATGTATTTTTAAGGAAAAAATTTAAAAAGAACCTAGGCTCGACCCGGCTCGAACACTGAACCAGGTCGAGCCATGCCGAGACTAGGCCAACAGTTTCAGGTCTCAGGTCAGCTCGTTTAGCCCGGCCCAAACTTGTAGCTCTATCCTCAGATAAAAATACTATATGGAATAAAATAAAACTACACAATTGCACTAAAATAAAATAAAATCACACCAAATTAAATAAAAAAATTAGACAAAATAAAATAGAATTAATTTAAAACACGACGACATAATTTAAAATTTTTTCTGTCTGCCCTTGCTTAAGATTTTTTCCACGTCATTGTTTTCATTTCTTTTATGCCTTTTTTTTCTTCTTTCTCTTTTTTTAAACAATTTGCATAACCAATGTTTTAAATTAATCAATCACGCGTAACACGTTTTAAGGACTAAAACTAAATAAAAATTATAAAAGAAAAAAAAAGTGTTGATTTGTGGTCTGATTTTATCCGTTTTAACACCATTTTGCGCCAAATTTTCGATGTTGTTTAAATAACAATACTATAAATAATTTGAATAAAATTAAATTTAAACAAAAATATGCTAAAATAAAATAAAATCACACTAAATTAAATAAAAAACACAACAACAACAACAAAAAAACAACTAATTTAAAATATAACAAAATATATTAAACTTTTTCATGTCTTTTACTTCAAATCTTTTTCCGCTTTTATCTTTGTTTCTTTTATGTCTTTTTTTTTCTTTCTTCTCTTTTTTTTTTTTAAACAAAGTAATAGTTATTTTGAATGTTACACAGCGTTCGCTATAGGCTAGTAACCCTAAAATGCATTGTCAAAACTTTACGTTCAACGAAAAGAAAAAGGCAGTGTCAAAAAAGATAAAAATAAACCATTGTTTTTAATGAGCAACAAGTTGGTTTGGATATAGAGAACCCAAAATCAATGTCGTTTTAAAGCCTATTTAATCTTCAAAACTTTCGATTGCTTTTTCCCAATATGAAGATTGACAACTAGGAAGGGAAGAATTTGTAAATAATAATAAATAAAAAAAACTAAAGGAATTAAACTGTAATAACTTTAAAAAATAAAAGAATAATTGTGAGAAATGTGATTGTAATTATGACCTTGGATTCACACCCTGTTAAACTTCCAATATGACTAGCTAGGTACTTGGTATTTTCAATTAGTATAGGAAGTTTTAGACTCGACTATTTAGTGCGTCGTTAGAAATTCGATGGAATATTGTAGGAAATTAATAATTTTGGAGTTCGGGGATATTTGGTAGAAGATGAGCAAGAGAGAAACGTTAATAGAGAAACAACTTTTGCACTGGAATTTAATCAAGCAAGCTAGTATGAAAATGTTAAACGGCACCACCAATGCCTTATAGCATTGCTTAGTTAGTAGGTGATATAAATGAAAATGAGCCGTCTGATGTGAGAGTTTTAACTGTAGTAGAAAAATTTATATGTGATTTTTTATGAGAGTTTTTAAAAATAGTAAATTTAGAATAGACGTGACTTTTTGTGAGAGCTTTTAACTGTAGTAAAATTAAAATTAAAAACTTAAATCGGTGAAATGAATGAGACCATAAACTTATAATATCGGTGCTCTTAGTTAGAGTTAAAAATTCGGTCCGCCCGGCCCGGAGACTCAATAGGAAAGTTTGGGCTGGGCCGGCCCTAAGACCTAGCGGGCTTGGCCCGGGCCGAGTATAACATAAATTTATAAAAATAAAAAAATGGTAATGAAATACATAATAAATTGTGAATATGTCAAAATTTAAATGGAATAATATTTTATATATGTAATTATAAGTGCCTCATTAAAAATCTTACCAAGAAAAATCTATTGGGATAAAATCTTACTAATTAAAAAAGAGTGCAGTATTATTTTTATAGTTACACTTTATATGTACTTAAAAAATGGAAAAATACATAGTTATTCAAAGAAATTGTAGAGGGCTTTGTTGATTTTGATTTCCAGATTAAATAGGCTGGATTGAACCGTTGCCTTGAACTTTTCGAACAGTTCCAATTTGCGCTAAAAACATTTAGACCGTGTTTGGAATTGATCTCGTTTTTATTTTTCATGTTTTTCGAAAAAGAAAAAATGAAAACGCTTTTAAAACGCCGTTTGACGCAATAAAAACAAAAAATAAAAATGAAAATGATTTTTTAATTTAGTGTAAAATGAGAGAGAAATGAAAAATAATTTTTAGTCGTTTTTCATTTTCTCATCTCTCTAGCAGAGAGAGAGAGAGACATTATTAGGTTTTTTTACACTGAAAATAATCTCTTGATAAAACTACCAAACGCATTTTTAAAAATGATTTCTGTCTGAGATTGAAAACGTTTTCATTTTCATTTTCATACAAAGAACAAAATCATTTTGGAACGAGTTCCAAACGCTCCCAACGTTTTGACAATTTGCTCCTTGAATTTACTAATGTGGAGCTAACCATCCCCAATTCGTGATAACTATGTTAATTTTTTGACAGAATTTTGACATGTAATTTTCATATACAGATCTTTAATTACCATATGAATAAATTGAAATCTTTCTTTTCATGTCGCTTCATAATTTGTTTTGTTAATTTTCTTGTCTGCAAGTGCACAATCGCTTCGGACATTGAAGCTGAGTGGTAGCAACATCCCCGATCTAGCCATGGCCAGTGCTGCCGCGAGACTCACCTCCATAACTTATTTGGATGTGAGCCACTGCACATACATTGGACCCGTTGCGCTCGAGGCAATCGGGAAGCACTGTAAGCATCTAGTGAAGTTGGAGAGAAATGCATACCTGATGATGATTTTGGGAAGCTCTCTAGATGGTGAGGCTTTTGCTATAGCAGCCACAATGCCAAAACTAAAACAGCTTAGCATTACCAATACGTGTACCAGTACTGATGGTGTACTCAAGATACTCTCCAGTTGCCCGGATCTCGAGTTATTGGATATTAGAGGGTGTAGAGAAGTGAAACTTGATGAACCTTTTGTCAAGAAATTCTCTCAACTTAGGATTCTGGGACCGGAACTAGTAGATTATGGTCCCGGTATTTCCGCCTATGTTGCATTTTATCCATACATTAGACATTTATTTTCCGGGTTGGATGATATAGAGATGATTATGGACTTCGAACTGGATCTTGACGACCCTACATGGCTTTCAGAACTACTTTTAGAGGATTAAGGGTAGTGCATTACGTATGAGACTCTTGGTTGGAACTATTTTCTTCACTTCTTTGTGATCACTGTCATGCATGCTTGTGTTCTCTATGGTTTTTCTATGTCGTTTGATAATTGTGGAAAGGCTCTTGTATTGTATTGGCCTTTTTGAGTTGAATACATATTGAGAACATCTCTTATTACTGAACCAAACTTATATACACAGTAGACTTTACTATGGTTGCGTTGAGTGATAAGGTTAAAACACTCAACATGTGTCACTTCCACATAGACTTAGTTAGACAAGAAAGATGACAGTTTTGAAAAAAAAAAGACTTAATTATCAGGTATGTTTCTTAAAAAAATAAAAAAAAAATAAAAAGTTAAAAGTCACACGTGTTAAGCATCTGAAAAAAAGTGAGATAAATTTTTGTATTTAACATTCCTGGGTCTTAAAATTAAAGAGGCTACATATACATCCCAATATAAGATTCAAATATATTTGCGGTACTAGTTCTGCTGTTTTCTTACAAATATTATTGGAATCTTACCTATTAGTTGACATCAATATATAGTAACCAAACGCAACTAATAAAAGACTCAACAGGTTATTCTCTCCTTTTGCACGTGAAAGTAGTTTCTCCTTCCCTTTGACACTATTAAAAAAAAAAAAAAAAAGGAGAATAGTAGAAAATAAGTCAATATGAAAAGTTTAAGGTCCCGTTCAGTTCGTTAATTCGAATTTTTAATTCGAGTTGAGATGTGATGTTGTGTAAGAATTTTTTACTGTAGCAAAAAAATTAGATGTGATTGTTTTTTAGAGCTTTTTACTGTAGTAAAACTCGAATCAATGAAATGAACGGAGCCTAAGAAAGTATATAGGCCAATTTTTAGTTATAGAAATTAATAGACCATAACTTGTCAAGTTATGGTTCATAACCAGATAAGTTATGGACAAACTTGTCAAGTTATAGTTCATAACCAGACAAGTTATGAACGAAAACAATAATTTGACCTATTTATCAACTTATGTAAACTATTGGCCTATTAATTTTAATTTATCTCAAGTTTTGACCTATTTCTCTCTTTCTTCTAAAAGAAAAGGTGATGATGACACATGTGCATCACATTTTTTTTTTAATTTTCTTTCTTTTTTAACATTTCATGATTTCTTTTTATTTTTATTTTTTTTCAAAGTTCCTATGCAGTTTAATTTTATTTACGACGTATTTTTTGAAACACTTTTTTTTTCCTTACTTTACACTTACTAAAATTTTTTATTTTAAATACATCCATATTTTTTCTTTTTTGTAAAAGATTATTATTCAGTTTAATTCTTTTAATATGTTTCTCAAAATAGACTTTTTCCTATTGCCATATATATATATATATATATTTTTTTTTTTTTTTTCCTCTCGGTGATACTCTTAATATTGTTTATCTTAGAAATAAAACTACTCTAATTATCTCAATTTAAATAGTTTCTCTCACATATGAGCATACCTCATAATTTTTTTCCCTAATCGCTTTACTGATATTATATCTTCTTAAATGTATCTCTACCTAAATATTTTTTTCCTTAACCCCTCGTAAATATTATTGTTTCATGTGTACCCCATAAATAATTTACTCTAATTTACTCAACTAAAATTTTTGTTAATTTACCTTTTCACTACGCCCTACTTTTTTTTTTTGTTATTAAACTCTTTAAAGAACACTAAACCAAGAAAAAAAATTTAGGAAATTTTAAATTTATATATCTAAACAAATATAACACGTTGAATACCTGCAGGATTTCAACTAGTATAATGAAAAGTAAAAGATTGGTCCCACGAGGATTTGTTACTAATTTTCGCTAACTATTAAAATTATGTCAAATCTAATTTTATCCGACCTGTCAAGATTAAGCTATAATGAAGCGGGTAAATAAATAAAATTGTAATGCAAATTAACTAACGAGCTAATGACAACTATCAAATAAAATAAAAACAAGCTCTAACTGCGGAAAATCAAATCAAAAAAATTTGACGGAGTTAAAATCAATGACAAGGTTCTAGGATTGCAATTGTTCATTTGAATTAATTCTACTCTCTCATTGATTGAATTAAATTAATGGAATTGTTAGTCGAATTAATGCACTAATTTATTCACATCAATCCAAACCCCTATATTTCTATAAGGAATTAATCAACATGAATCTATTAAGATCAAGCATTCCAAGTGACTATACATGCACTAAGGATATATTTCTATTCCAAATTGCACAAGTTATCCTATTATTGATCAAGACTAAAGAAATTCATTTTCCAACTTCATTCATGTCCAATAACATCATCTAATGAGTGGCCAAACCATTAAGAGCATTAAGCACCTAATATAATAAAACAATTCCAATAATCAAACACAAATTAAAGAGAGCAAATAACTGAAAATGCATCATTAGGGCTACATTCCCTAGGTAATTAAACTAAAACATTTCCAAAATCAAAGTGCAAATAGAAAATAAAAAGTCCAACACCATTTATGTTGGGAATAGTATCCTTAAAATTTTATTATTTATTTAATAAAATAGAAATTTCATTATTTTATTTACCTGTATTTTTGTGTACTTTACGTATATCATAAAAAATTTCACAATTATTTATATGATCTTAAATATTGTATATAATTATTCTACTAAAAGATAATATTTAAGAATAATAATCAAAATGAGTCCCTAATGAATTTATTTCTTTATCAGCAACTTGAATCTGACGAGTCATTTTTTTTTTCCCCCCCTTTCAAATCAACAACGTAGAAATGCAGTTTTCGAAGATCAAATTGTGTTATAAGGCTAACAAACTTCTAATAGAATGCTTAACAACAGGAGAAGCATCTTATTGCAATCAATTATTTCCTTCCAACAATAACCCACAGATAATCTTGCCTTGAAGTGAAACTATACTTGTACGAGAAAATCCCTTGTTCCTTACATACAACCGGCATCAGACGCTGCAGACCATCTATCTCCATCAAGGCGAAAACCTCATTCTCCTTCCGTTATTGATGAGAACATGCCAATGTCACCTCAGGTCTTTTAGCATTGTTTTAAGTTTATTCACGGTTAAAACATGTTTTATGATGATAGTCTTGAATGTAATGAACCACCTAATAAGCTCCTCAAAGTACATACGGTTTTTTCGCGTAGGATGGTGATATGGCTCTGAAAGAATAGTTTGATTTTGGGTAGAGTTTATGACACAGCTCAAATGTACTCGTATTTTCTTCGATAAAATTTAAAGTCTACGTATCAAATTCACAGGCCGCAAATTATTCGTGGAACTAGTGTCTTTTTTTTTTTCCGGAACATAGAAAGTGTCATCTAATTGATTATTACGCAATAAAAATGGAATGGATGAAAGTTGCAGGCTCGAATGAAGTGTGCAGATGGGATACTGATCATGATATCAAACTTCAAGTCATGAAAGAGATTGTGTAATCAACAAAGAAAAAACCACACTACTATGGACAATAAAATGATTTTGGCAAATGTTGAAACCAACATTGAGAAATCATAATTGCTCATTTGGGATTTAGCAGATTTGACCGGTATAATTCTTCATCCGTTATTAGTGGCGGTATACTCCATGTTCCGAGGGGATGTTTAGACATATTCCCTCCTAACAAAATTCAAGTTCCAGTAAAGAAGAGTTCCCGGGAGGAAGCGAAAAGTGCAGAGAGTCTGGTCCAATCTCACAAAATAGGACATAAAATAGTGACATTTACCTTCTCTTGTAGCTTCTTCACATCTTCTCTGGTAATTCAAGGACAGTTGGGGATCCAAAGTCTTCAATAACATGTTGTACTTTTCTTCAGCCTCAGTTATGTATTTAGCCTGAAGAAGAAAAATACAAAAATCAAAAGGATTCTGGGTGTAGATATATCTTTACTTTTAGTTACTAAAGTCAACAAGAAACCTGGCATACTCACCAACATAGTGGGGGCGGAAGCTCCATATATCCTTACGAACATGCGCAGAACATTGAAATTATTGTCTAATACATCATCCTGCAGGTGGAAAGAAATCAACACTAGGACACTAAATTGAAAAAAAAAAATAAAACGAGTGTATTATTAGACTTGGAACGTGATTGACCCACCTCATAGTCAAATCTGCAGTGTAATCATCAAATGAAGCGAGCATTAATCTCGCCATATAGGTTTTGTCATAGACAAATACTATTATTAATTATTGGCATAATAAAATGTAATCAATAAAAGAAGCCAAAGGTACCAGAGGACTTTATGCTTCGTGATGATCAGACGGCGTATTCGGGCATGCGATCATGCAAAAAAAAAAAAAAGGGATTACTTACAGATCATCAGCTACCTCCACAAGGAATTCTGAGATTGAAAGGAAGTCCATATGCAGCTCATCAACCTTCGGAATAGCTTCAAAGGAACCACAACCGAATGAAACTTGTTCCAACATACTCAAAAAACTTGATGTTGTTTATAATAACAGAAACAATATGTTCAAAAGAAATGCCAGTATATGCATATAAACACACAATGCAGATAGAAACGAGCACCTGTTCTCCTCTCAACTGATACAGGAGAAGGTTCAGCACTCGATAATCGAAAGATTTCAGATGAATTGCCTTTATAACATCTTCAACAGATATCTGAACAGCCACATCACTCATCAGACTCTAAATAGAGCCAGTACGAACTCGAGGAAAATTTTTCCATGACATTAACCGAGAATGAAATACATACCTCCTTTCTGTTCACTAGGGCACAACAAAGCATTCTTTCGAGTGCCCAGTACTCTTCTCCATGCTTGAATTCTTCTTTTATTCTTAACCATGCCAAAAAAAAAAAAAAAAAAAGATAGAAGACTGTAAGCTCAAAGCTATACTTTTCCTTCCCCATTTGTGTAAGAAAGAAAATGGTCAGAAACCAAGATACTGAACCTCTCAGTCAAAAGGCCGTGATAACCAAGTAGACCAACCAATGATCTGAAAGGGTCACTCACGAATACATTTGTAAATTTAGCAATTAATCTCAGGTTTTCTTCCTGCAAATGAATAAGAATAATATTGAATAAATACATATTTTAGTTTCTAAGTTTTTATGGTTAGTTCTACCAAAGTTCTTGGTGTAACCATCTCGTATACTTCTTCTGAGGATTTCACTCTATTACTTGGCGCTTGCACTATCTTCTCATTCAAACTATCCAGCTGCAACCAAAAACCCCATGTTTGATAAGGAAAAGAATGTTTATAGAAGCTCAATACCAGGAACTAACAGTGGAAAGTCTATGGACCATACCATCCTAGCACTCAACTATGCTTTCAAATGTTAAGAAATAATCTTATTGATTTCTCGTACCAAGTCAAGTTGTAATCCACAGGTTTTTATAAGCAAGTATATTCAATACAATCCAAGTATATATTCCATTTCCCCATGACCATAGTGGTTACATGGACAATAGCGTACGAAGCCGGATATAGAAAACTACTGACAAACTAAAAACATAATCATAAGATTTATTAATAATAATTAAAAATATTTTGGGATTCCACAAGGGAAGCCTACAATTATATCTAGGATGGGAAGGTAGAAAGAGGAGATTAAAAAGGTAGAAAAGAAGGAATGGTAAGAGAGACGAACAGAGAGAGAGAGAGGATATGAAAAGGAGTTGTTTTTCAGTCATAGAAGTTGTGTTTTGCAACCTATTTTTGGAGCTCTATTTATAGAGCTAATTTTGAAGTGGAATCACTGCAGCCCTGTGACAGATATTATGAACAATACCTGTGTCATATCAAACTAGAGCTATAAATTTGATGCTTCATTGGATTTTAAAGCAATCATCTACATTACTCTGGGCACAATCAATACTACCTTGACCATAGCTATTTTTTCCATCTTCAGAATCTTCATCAATTTGGGAAAGGATCTAGTTCAGCAGATTTTTGTATTCTTCCTTTATCTTTATTGTCACTAGTTTTGAACTAGATTGACTTTTTGTTGTAGAAACCTAAATGAAGACTTGTTTATTATGTTCAACCTGTTCTTTTAGCAAGAAATAATTTTGGATTCTTGATAAACGTGATAAGCATTATATTTTGTCATCATTTTACTTGGAAAGCTCAGTACAGACTAGCGAGTTTTGGTGGATGATCTTGTAGCAACAAGAGAGGAAATTTTGAGAAGTAGAATGGGAATTCTATTTTCTTGTTCTTCTTGGGATGGTTGATGTTTTTGAAGGAAAATTTGGAACCCATCAATGCCAAGTTTGGGAAGATGCTAAGGACGGCCCCAAATTTTGTCCACCAATTACAAAAATAGTGGAGAAAAACAAATTTTAACTCCTTTTTTTCTGAAATAGAAGAGCCACAGTGTAGATTTTGAGAATTTTTCTGAAAAGCATATTGTCATGCATCCATATAAGCCCAATAGTTGTAACCAAAGGGATGAAATGTCTGCAAGAATTTTCTGCATCAGGATAAATCCTTATCCCGTGCTCAAATGCTGTAGTAAGTTTGAGAACATGTATAGTGGAATGAGACAACACTTGTGTCATCATTCATAAAACTTTTGTGTTTTTCTAATATCATTAGGGATTAAGAAAAAACTTTTCAGAATTTCTTTATAAATATATATATATATATATATATATATATATATAATTTGCAAGGGATTAT